TCAAAACCACATTGAGATACCATCTCACGCCAGTTAGAATGGTGACCATTAAAAAATCTGGAGACAACAGATGCTGGAGAGGATGTGGAGAAATAGGAACACTTTTACACTGTTGGTGGGAGTGTAAATTAGTGCAACCATTGTGGAAGACAGTGTGGCAACTCCTCAAGGATCTAGAAATAGAAATTCCATTTGGCCCAGCAAACCCATTACTGGGTATATACCCAAAGGACTATAAATCATTCTATTATAAAGACACATGCACACGCATGTTCATCATGCACTGTTTACAATAGCAAAGACTAACCCAAATGTCCATCAATAATAGACTGGATAAAGAAAACATGGCACATATACACCATGGAATACTATGCAGCCGTAAAAAACAATGAGTTCGTGTCCTTTGCAGGGATATAGATGAATCTGGAAACCATTATTCTCAGCAAACTGACACAAGAACAGAAAATCAAACACCACATGTATTCACTCATAGGTGGGTGTTGAACAATGAGAACACAAGGGCACAGGGACGGGAACATCACACACTGGGGTCTGTTGTGGGGTGGGGGGTTAGGGGAGGGACAGTGAGGGGGTGGGGAGGTTAGGGAGGGATAACATTGGAAGAAATGCCTGATGCAGGTGATGGGGGATGGAGGCAGCAAACCATCATGGCGTGTGTGTACCTGTGCAACCATCCTGTAAGATCTGCACATGTACCACAGAACTTAAAGTACAATTTTTAAAAAGCACATACTGTATGATCCCATTTATATGAAATGTTCAGAATAGCCAAATCCATAGAGACAGAACTGGATTAGTGGTTGCTTAGGGCTGGGGAGGATAGGGATAATGGCTAAGACGAGTGAGATTTCTTTTTGGGATAATGATGGGTATTTGGGTTGGGTCTTTGCTATTGTAAACAGTGCCGCTATGAACATACATGTGCATGTGTCTTTATAATAGAATGATTTATAGTCCTTTGGGTATATACCCAGTAATGGGTTTGCTGGGCCAAATGGAATTTCTATTTCTAGATCCTTGAGGAATCGCCACACTGTCTTCCACAATGGTTGAACTAATTTACAGTCCCACCTACAGTGTAAAAGTGTTCCTATTTCTTCACATCCTCTCCAGCATCTGTTGTCTCCAGATTTTTTAATGATCATCATTCTAGCTGGGGTAAGATGGTATCTCGATGTGGTTTTGATTTGCATTTCTTTAATGACCATTGATGTTGAGCATTTTTTCATGTTTCTTGGCCTCATAAATGTCTTCTTTTGAAAAGGGTCTGTTCATATCCTTTCCCACTTTTGAATGGGTTTGTTTGTTTGTTTGTTTGTTGTGAATCTGCTTTAGTTCTTTGTAGATTCTGGACATTAGCCCTTGGTCAGATGGGTAAATTGCAAAAATTTTTTCCTATTCTGTTGTGCAATCAAATTAGAACTCAGGATTAAGAAACTCACTCAAAACCACACAACTACATGGAAGCTGAACAACTTGCTCCTGAATGACGACTGGATAAACATGAAATGAAGGCAGAAATGAAGATGTTCATCAAAACCAATGAGAACGAAGACACAATGTACCAGAATCTCTGGGACAAATTTAAAGCAGTGTCTGGAGGGAAATTTATAGCAATAAATGCCCAGATGAGAAGCGAGGAATGATCTAAAATTGACACCCTATCATCAAAATTGAAAGAGCTAGAGGATCAAGATCAAAAAAATTCAAAAGCTAGCAAGTAAGATCAGAGTAGAACTGAAGGAGATGGAAACACAAAAAAACCCTTCGAAAAAAATCAATAAATTCAGGAGCTGATTTTTTGAAAAGATCAACAGAATAGACGAACTGCTAACCAGACTAATAAAAAAGAAAAGACAGAAGAGTTGAAAAATGCAATTAAACATGATAAAGGGGATATCACCACTGATTCCACAGAAATACAAACTACCATCAGAGATCACTACATACAAATCTATGCACATAAACCAGTAAATCTGGAAGAAATAAACTCCTGGACATTTATACCCTCCCAAGACTAAACCAGGAAGAAGTTGAATCCCTGAATAGACCAATAACAAGGGCTGAAATTGAGGCAGTAATTAATAGCCTACCAACCAAAAAAAGCCCAGGTCCAGATGGGTTCACAGCCAAATTCTACCAGACACACAAAGAGGAACTGTTACCATTCCTTCTGAAACTATTCCAAACAAAACAAAAAGAGGGACTCCTCCCTAACTCATTTTATGAGACCAACATCATCCTGATACCAAAACCTGGCAGAGACAAACTAAAAAAGAAAACTTCAGGCCAATATCCGTGATGAACATAGATGCTAAAATCTTCAATAAAATACTGGCAAACTGAATGCAACAGTGCATCAAAAAGCTTATCCATCACGATCAAGTAGGCTTCATCCGGGGGATGCAAGGCTGGTTCAACATACGCAAATCTATCAATGTAATCCATCACATAAACAGAACCAAAGACAAAAACCACATGATCATCTCAATAGATGCAGAGAAGGCCTTTGACAAAATTCTACAGCCCTTTATGCTAAAAACTCTCAATAAACTAGGTATCGATGGAATGTATCTCAAAATAATAAAAGCTATTCATGACAAACCCACAGCCAACATCATACTGAACGGGCAAAAACATTATGTGCTTTTTAAATGACTGGTTTCTTTCCTTAAGCATAGTGTTTTCAAGGGTTATCAATTTTGTAGCTTGCATCAGTACTTTATTTCTTTTTACTGCTGAATAATACTCCATTGTATCATGTGTTTTTCTCAGCACAGACAGAGATCGGATGCTGTTCCACTGTATTCTCCATAGCCAGACAAATTCAGTTTGTCATGTTTCTAGAAAAAGGTGACAGTAAGTAAATATTGGCTGAGCCTTACAGGGGTGGCAGCCGTATTTAGAAAGTAGCTTTTCATGAGTGACTTTATTCACTCAGTTCTCTTAGTATATTTAGTATTTCTGACTCACAAACGGAAGTTATTCTATTTTGGCATTCTTTCTCTCTTTCTCCTGCTTGGTCTCTACTGGCTTGCTGTGTTAAATTATGCAAGTTACTGAAACTGTTTGTTTAACTCCTGCGTGCTCTATAAAATAAGCCCAGTCCAGTCTGCTTGTTTGCCAAAGCTGTTTGGAGACAATTTTTCATATGATATGCATCATCAGCTCCCACAGAAGGCAAAAGGAATTTGACGTGTGGGGGTAGTCTGGGATCCTATCCAAAATTAGTGCTCATCTGGAAGAAATATGGAAGCCTGATACTTGCTTACGGGCCTTTTAGTTGTATTCACTTACTGTTTTTCCTCTAAGGAAATTTGAAAATCTTTATCTATTTTGTGGGTTTTTTTCTTTTCTTTCTTTCTTTTTTTTTTTTTTTTTTTTTCTTTGAGACAGAGTCTTGCTCTGTCACCCAGTCTGGTGTGCAGGGGTGCCATCTCAGCTCACTGCAACCTCTGCCTCCCTGGCTCAAGTGATTCTCCTGTCTCCTCCTGAATAACTGGTATTACAGGTATGTGCCACCATGTTCGGCCAATTTTTGCATTTTTAGTAGAGATGGGGTTTCGATACATTGACCAGGATGATCTCAAGTGATCTCCTGGCTTGGTCTCCCAAAGTGCTGGGATTACAGGCATGAGCCACTGTGACCATCCGTGTGTGTGTGTGTGTGTGTGTGTGTGTCTTATGTATGAGATAAAGCTTAAAAAAAAAAGATTGCAGTAGAAAAGTTTTCTGATACCCTCTATTGGACACCTGTGAACCAAAGAGAGTAGTCTGTATGACCTAGCTTTGTGACTTGGGAAATGATTATCCATAACATTCAAAATTCTCTTTATTTTACCGTGAGATGAACCTCTCCAGACCCTAGGTTGGCATGTAAAATTCAATTAGATTTAAATTTTCACTCGTTTACTTATGCAATATGCTCTGTGCTGAGTGCTGAGGAGGTTGCAAAACAAAATAATAATAACATAAAGAGATGTTAGGAGCTGTGCATAAGACAGAGGGAGCTAAGCCCCAAGAGAGGCGAAAACCTAGATGCTCAAGGAGCAGAAACCAGAGAAGACATTTCTGCTAGGTGGGGTGACAGATATGGTTACCTGGAGAAGAAGGAGATGATGATGATGATGATGATGACGATGATTTGAGAGAGGATCTTGCTCTGTCGCCCAGACTTCAGTGCAGTGGTGTGATCACTGCTCTCTGTAGCCTCCATCTGTGTTCGAGCAATCCTCTAGCCTCAGCGTCTGGAGTAGCTGAGACTGCAAGTGAGCGCCACCAGGCCTAGCTATTCTTTTTATTTTTTATTTTTTTGTAGAGACAGGATTTCACCATGTTGCCAGGCTCGAATTCCTGGCCTCAAGTGATCCACTTGCCTCCCCCTTTCAACGTATTGGGATTACAGGCATGAGCCACCATCCCCGGTGAGAAGATTATTCTAAGCTGTGTAGAACTTTTAAAAGTGGAGACAGGAAAGAGCATGTAAACGCTCTCAGTGAACTTCCGTTGGGTGGTGAGGTGCACAGTAGTCTCAGGTGTGTGAAGGGAGCTAGGAGAAATAAAACTGAAAAGATGGGATGGAGACCTTGAAAACTAGAATAGGGAATCTCTTCTTGATCATTTAAGCAAAAGGAAGCCAATGAAAGTCTTTGGCACACCGTACATCAAAACTGCTCTTAAGGAAATTAACCTGGCAGGAAGATGAAGGGTGGATTGGCAAGGGGAGAGACTTCGGGCTGGGAAACCAAGGGAGGTTGCTGCAGCAGTACAGGCAGAGCGAGTGGAATGGAGGTGACCGACCGCTGCAGCAGACTCTGGAGTCTCGCAGTGGGGACGTTAGAGGTACCACTCCGGGACAGAGTTCCCTCCTTGGGCAGGGACTGGGAGGAGCCAAAGTTATAGCCACACCTCCGATGACGCCAGGTGGTCGGCTGTAGCCTTCTATTAGCTACGCTGGCCGCCAGTCCGAGAGGAGGCGGTACCCTTCCCCGCCCTCTCCGGGCTCGGCTTGAGGCTGGCGCGGGCTGGGAGCCCGTGGAGCCTGGGGGCCAGGCGCTGCCGGGATATAGGGCGCTGCGGTCGGGGACCCGCTGCTGAAATAGGCAGGTGAGAAGGCCGAGGGGTGACCCCAGCGTCTCCGCCACCCTGGGATCCCCGCCCCCTCGAGAGCGCGCAGTCCCGGGGGGCTCGCGGGGCGGAGGTTGGGGGCGCCGGGCGGAGCGGGCGAGCGGGGACAAGGGGGACGGAGCAGGCTGGCTCGGGACCCGTCGCTGCACCTCCCGCTGCAGCCCCGAGTCGGCCCCCAGGTCTAGGTGTCGCCGGGAGAGGTGGGCAGAGGGCAGTGGCCGGCGACCCCTCGCGCCCTTGGGCTCCCTTGACGTTCTGTTTGGAAACACCGGGCCCGGGCTTCTGGAGCGGCGCGAGCGGTCCCGGGGGCGCAGCGGGGCAACTTAGGGTCCCCGCGCCGAGGGACCCGCGCGGCCAGGGATGCCACGCTTGGCTTCGGCTTCGGCTTCGGGAGCTCCACTAGGATCTCCGGGGCGAAACTTTAAACTCAAAACTTAAAAGAGGCATTTTGTACACCTCGAGTTGCTGGTGAGTCAGAGCACCCTGAGGTGACTTACCCTGAAACCACTGTCCCCGAAGTTAGTGGGGCACTTTTTAAAGGACCGCACTTTTTAGCCGTGGGTTTTGTTGTGCGAAACGCTGTGGGAATAGAAGTCGAACCATTTACATTGGAAAAGCTCTGGTGGTGGGCTACCTGAGGGTCACTGCTTTCTTTGTGAAAATGCCAGTCTTGCAAGTCTGGCTCGCAAAGCAGTGTGGCCCAGAGGAGTGTGCAGTGAGGAGCTCTGCTGTTCCGGGCAGTGCCACCGATGGGCAGGCGTTGCCCAAGTGGCGCTAGGTGGTGGTCCGAAGGTTCCTTAAACAAGGCATGCTTCAGTCTCGTCGAGAAACATCTTTTACACACACACACACACACACACACACACACACACGATTACCTAGCCCAGTTAAGCTGTCCCTTGGTCAGAAGATACCTTAAACAAGGCATGCTTCAGTCTCAATCTCGTCGAGAAAGATCTTTTACAAACACATACACACATATACACAATTAGCCCAGTAAAGATCTTTTACACACACACACACACACACACACACACACACACACACACACACACACGATTACCTTGCCCAGTTAAGCTGTCCCTTAAGAGGCAAAAACTAAAGAATATCATAGAGGCTAACGCTGTGCTTCCTTAGGGTAAGCCTAAGTAGAAGGATTCTTTCATTTCTTTTTCTTTCCTTTTTGGGGTTTGGAAGAGAAACAGGAAGTCAGAGATTCAGAGAAAAGAGCATTCACTCCACAATTGTAAACAGTTTATCTTGTGTCAGTAAATATTTCCAAAAGTCACTGGTGGTATTTGGAACACCAAGACTTTTTCCTGTACCCTGAAGTGAAGATGGATTACTTTCAAATTCAGAAACTAGACATGATAGATTACTTTCAAATTCAGAATCTAGATATGAAAATTTATTTATTTAGCAGTCAGTTATATTGTATAGTTATATATACAGTCCCAGTGTTATACGGTTCTGTAACATTAGTGGTAGTGAAAAGGATGGTGGCTATTGTATAAAATTAGAATTTTTAACTACCCAGGATGGTGCACTAATATAACTGTTGCTTTATACTTGTTAACTAACTGCAGATACTGAATGAAATGAGGGAATCGGGTGTCTAGATCTCAGTGCAGACCATAATCCTACCAATTTACTGTTTCGATTTTTTTTATTATGGCCCTCGAATAGGGAATATAGATGTTAAATGCTGATTTAGTAATATTCTTAAGGCTTTGGTACTTCACAATAAAATATATAATTAGCATAACTAAACAAATAAGCATGTTTAACTTTGAATTAATTTATTGTGTCATTAAGATAGCAAAGTACCTTCCAGGTAAGATATATGTATAATACTTTTCATATTTGAGGTTAACAGTTACCTCTTAATTTTTTGAGCCAATCATGAAATTCTTGGCAGGGATAACCACAAATAATGGATCATTAAATTTGTAAATGTGGTCCTAGTATGCATCCATTTAAACTGTGACTTTTTCTTTAGTCATTTGTAAATATGTGATCTTTTTTTATTGAGATCTTAATGTAAGATACAAACTATAAGATTTATCCTTTTAAAGTATAGTTTACTGGGTTTTGGTATATTCATAAGGTTGTGTAGCCATCACCAATATCTAATTCTAGAATATTTTCATTACCCAAAAAAGAAACCACATATCCATTGTAGTCAGTCTCCACTACCTTCTCCTCCACAGCCCTTGGCAACCACTAACCTGCTTTCTGTCCTTTGTATTTGCCTACTATGGACATTTCATATAAATAGATTCATACAATATGTGGCCTTTTGTGTCTGGCATCTTTCACTTAGCATGTTTTCAAGACTCAACCATGGCTATATATTCGTACTGTATTCCTTTTTTATGGCTGAATAATATTCCATTGTATGTATATACCACATTTTTTTTGAGACAGAGTCTCACTCTGTTGCCCAGGCTGGAGTTCAGTGGTGCAATCTCAGCTCACTGCAACCTCCGCCTCCTAGGTTCAAGTGATTCTCCTGTCTCAGCCTCCCTAGTAGCGGATATAGTTCTGCACCACCACATCCAACTAATTTTTGTATTTTCAGTGGAGACAGGTTTTGCCACGTTGGCCAGGCTTGCCTCAAACTCCTGACCTCAGGTGATCCTCCCACTTCAGCCTCCCAAAGTGCTGGGATTACAGGCATGAGCCACTGCACCCTGCTGGATCTACCACATTTTATTCATTCATCTGATGGTGGGCACAGGCTGTTTCTACTCTTTGGCCATTATGAATACTGCTGCTCTGAACATTTATATACAAGTTTCGGTGTGGATATGTATTTCATCTCTTGGCATATGATCCCATCTCTTGGCATATGACTCAGCAACTCCAATGCCAAGTATACAGTTACCAATACTTTGTATTGGTGTACAAATATAAAGTTACTCCAATAACTTGATAACTTTATATTTACACTTGTTTGTTTTTTGAGACAGGGTCTCACTCTGTTACCCTGGCTGGAGTGCAGTGCATGATCATAGCTCACTGCTCAAGTGATCCTCTTACCCAGGCCTTTGGAGTAGCTGGGAGCACAGATAAGCTCCCTGATGCCCAGCTAATTTTTGAATATTTTGATAGAGATGAAATCTTGCTATGTTGCATAGTCTGGTCTTGAACTCCTGAGCTCAATAAATTGTCCCACCTCAACCTCTCAAACTGCTGGGATTATAGGTGTGAACCACCATGCTGGCCTGTTTAAACTTTTGAGGAACTGCAAAACTGTTTACAAAGCAGCTATAAAATTTTTAACATTCTCATCAACAACGTATGAGGGTCCCAATTTCTCTACATCCTCATCAACACTTGTTGTTAGATGTCTTTTTCATTAGAGCATCTTATTTAATGTGAAATAGAATGTTGTTGTGACTTTGATTTGCATTTTCCCTTATAGCAAATAATGAGCTTTTTGGCCATTTGTATATCTTCTTTGGAGAAATGTCTATTCAGATACTTTGCCCAATTTTATTTATTTATTTTAAATTTATTATTATTATTAGAGATGGGGTCTCCCTCTGTTGCCCAGACTGGAGTGCAGTAAACATGGTTTACTGCAGCCTCAACCTCCTGGGCTCAAGTGATTTTTCTGCCTCAGCCCCCCAGTAGCTGGGACTATAGGCATGCACCACCATGCCTGGCTAGTGTGTGTGTGTGTGTGTGTGTGTGTGTATTTTTATAAAGACAGTGTTTTGCAACTTTGTCCAGGCTGGTCTCAAACTCCTGAGCTCAGGCCATCTACCCACCTCAGCCTCCCAAAGTGCTGGGATTACAGGCATAAGCCACCTCGCCTAGGCCTTTGCCCACTTTTTAATTGGCTTATCTTTTTTAATCGTTGAGTCGTAAGAGTCCTTTATATATTCTAGACACAAATCCCTGAGATACATAATTTGTAACTATTTTTCCCATTCTGTGGGTTATCTTTGCACTTTCTTGACAATGTCCTTTGAAGCACAAAAATTTAAAAATTTTGACGAAGTCCAATTTATATATTTTTAATTCCTTGTGCTTTAGGTGTAATATCTAAGTATCTGTTGCCTAATCCAAGTCATGAAGATTTATACCTGTTTTCTTCTAAGAGTTTAGAGGAAGTTTGTCCAACCTGTGGCCTGCAGGCCACATGCGGCCCGGGATGGCTTTGAATGTGGCCCAACACAAGTTTGTAAAGCATTATGAGATTTTGTTTTTTGCAATTTTCTTTTTCTTAGCTCATCATCTACAGTTAGTGTTAGTGTATTTTACGTGTGGCCCAAGACACTTCTTCTTCTAATGTGGCCCAGGGAAGCCGAAAGATTGGACATCCTGGTTTAGAGCTTTGGCTTGTACCTATAAGTTTGCGATCCATTTTGTGTTATTGTGTATATATGGTATGAGGTGTGGGTCCACATTCATTCTTTTACATACGGATATTCAGTTGTCCCAGCATCCTTTGTTGAAAATACTATTCTTTCACTAACTGATCTTAACACTCTTGCCAAAAATCAATGTGAGGCTTTTTTCTGTACTTAACTTTATTCTGTTTATCTATATATCTATCTTTATGCAAGTACCACACTGTGTAATCAAACTACTCTATAACTTTGTAGTAAGTTTAAAAATCGTGAAATGTGAGTTCTTCAACTTTTTAATATTGTTATGTCTATTCTTCAACTCTTGAATTTCCAGGTGAATTTTGATCAACTTCTCAATTTCTGCAAAAAATACAGTTGAAATTTTGATAGAGATTGCATTGTGCGTATAGCCTTTGCAAGTATTGCCATCTTCACAATATTAAGTCTTCCAATCCATGAATATGCAATTTCTTCCATTTATTTAGGTATTCTTTAATTTCTTTCAGTGATGTTTTGTAGTTTTCAGAGTACATATCTTGTGCTTCTTCTGTTAAATTCATTCCTAAATATTTTTTTAATGCTATTGTAAATGGAATATTTTCTCAATTTCATTTTTGGATTTTTCCTTGCTAGTGTATAGAAAAACAACTGACTTTTGAATGTTTATCTGGTTTCCTGAGACCTTGCTAAACTCTATAGTTTTCATAGTTTTTTTGTGGATTCCTTAGAATTTTCTATGTACATGATCATGTCATCTGTAAGCAGAGATAGTTTTATTTCTTCCTGTCCAATCTAGATGCTTTTACATTTTATTGTCTTGCCGTGGCTATTACAATGTTGAATAGAAGTGGTGAGAAAAAGACATCTTTGTCTTGTTCCTGATTTCAGGGAGAAAACTGTCAGTCATTTACCAGTAAGTGTGATGTTAGCTGTGGGCTTTTGTAGATGTCCTCTATCAGGATGAGGAAGTTCCCATCTATTTCTAGTTTGTTGAATGTTTTTGTCATGAAGGGATGTTGTTGAATGTTTTTTTCTATGTCTATTGAAATGATCACATGGTTTTTGTCCTTCATTTTATTCATATAGTGCATTACATTGATTTCCATTTGTTGAAAAATATGTACTCTTCATGTTATTTTTAAAACTGTAGAACATAAGCAAGTTATTTTACATGTAGAGCAAAAATTAACCAATATTAACCTATTGATCAATGGGTAAATAGACTCCTCTTATTGCTTAAGCTGGAAGAGTATCCCTACATTTCTGTGCCATGATATGATAATTCAAGACTTAAAGATGCCCTTTTCAGGGCTACTTTTCATTTTCTAATACTGCATCCATATTTTATTTTCCTGTTCGCTCTAAAGCTAATAAGGAGAAAAATGAAGTAGCCTCAGAACTGAGAACATGTTTGTGATTGACAAACTGCATTATCTACTCCTAAATCATTGCTAGTAAATGCCAATGCAAATCATTAATAGTAAATGCTAATATGGGTAATGGAAAACATTACTAACAAGGTTAATTTCCTTAGGAAAAACCTCAGAAAACATTGAGGTAAGGATTCTGTAAAAACAAAGAACTGAAAGGCAAATGATTTCCAGCTCTACACTAATATATTTCCTTTAAATTAAGACTAGAAGTTAGGGACATCTGCAGGCATTAAGATGGTTAGGATGCTCTTAATAAATGTTGTAGTCCTTTAAGAACAATTCTGCTGGCTGGGCATGGTGGCTCACACCTGTAATCCCAGCACTTTGGGAGGCTGAGGGAGGTGGATCACCTGAGGTCAGGAGTTCGAGTCCACCCTAGCCAACATGGCAAAACCCCAACTCTACTACAAATACAAAAATTAGCTGGTTGTAGTGGCAGGCGCCTATAATCTCAGTGACTTGGGAGGCTGAAGCAGGAGAATCACTTGAACCTGGGAGGCGAAGATTGCAGTGAGCCACGATCACACCACTGTCCTCCAGCCTGGGCAACAAGAGTGAAACTCCATCTCAAAAAAAAAAAAAAAAAAGGAAACGATTCTGCTTACATTTATTTCTAATGTATTGAATGATATTGTCAGTGTTAATGTGAAAATTAATTTAGGTAAAAAAAATCTTTATACTAGGAAAATAATCTTTTAGTGGGTTTTTAGCAGCATAAAGTTTTAAAAAACTGGTATAAGATTAGGGAGGGTGCTATATTACACTAAATACTAGGAAAATCAATACGGTTATATTTTTAGAAAACAAAAGAATAGAATAGTATACTTCAACTGCAGTTCCATCCCAGGGTTCTGAGAGTTTTGCTGTCACAGTTCTTTATAACTGAGCCTTTCCATTCCTAATATAAATTTCAAAGCAGGGCAGTTCATAGCAAGGACAATTTAGAAATACGTTATTAGGCTGCTTATTAAAAATAGCCTGATAAAATATTACTAAATATTTAAAACTACTTTTATGAATCTCAAAGCCAGAAGCCATCATGCTTCCAAAATCAAGTAACACTTAAGAATTTCAAAACCAATTCCCTTGCCTCTTGTCCTCCCACTTACAGTGTTTCTCCCTGCAATTAATCTCCTCTGAAAGGAAAGTTAATATGGAAAAATCTGATTCCAGATTTACTTCATATAGATAATTCCAAATTGCATGTTTATATGCTTTCTCTTACACCAAATAAAAATTAGGCAAACTTGTCAGGATCACAACAACTTACCCTTAAATATGCCAAAAGACCTCTGGCTTGAAAGACTTAACCTGGACCTGGTCAAATTTAGAGTGGTGATAAGGAATCGTTGTAGTAAAAATCTAAACTGTAATCATAGCAATTGAATCAAACTGTAATACTTCCTTAAATTTCAGAGTATGGTAAAATTATGAGCTCAGAGATTCAAACAGTCTTATCTGTTGGACAGAGCTAAAATGATAACACTCTGTGTTTGTGTTGTGCTGTTATACTGCCTGCTGTTCTACTAGAAACAGCAGTATTTCATTTGTTCCTCGCTACATACCCACAAGGAATAATCATATGTTGTCGACGTACCCCTTTTTCTGGATTGGATAAACTCGGACATAGAAAGGTTAAGTAGCACAGTTGGACTCCAACCTTAGTCTCCTATCCCCCATTAAGTTCTTTCCATAAGCTCTTACCAGTTCTGGAATTTGTCTTAGAATTTAAAACTTGTACATGGATCTAATTACAGTGATTAGAATGTGTACATTGGATAATTTAACAAAATTTCCTGAATATTAATTGTGTTGTACTGTTTGAATTTTTTTAAGAATAAATATGGCAGAGCTTTCTGAGCCAGAGGGACCAGTAGATTGGAAAGAACGATGCGTAGCTCTGGAGTCCCAGCTCATGAAATTTAGAGTTCAAGCCAGCAAGATACGAGAGCTCTTAGCAGAGAAGGTAAGCTTTCTCCCTAAGCTTTGTTATTAAGTGTCAGCTGTTTAGGGCCTGTTTGGTTTATATTAAATAATCTCAGTACTTTGGGGGTTTAGCTTTATACAAATAATGAATATGACTTAATCTTTTTTCAGGTGTTTGAAGCTATATTTGGCATATTCTTTTGCCAGTGTTAGGGTAGTTTGGACTTTAAGACAAAAAAAATTTATTTGCAAATGCTAGTGGAACATGTGAGAATTGCATATGTTTGATGAATGTAGAGTTCATCCATTCCAGAGAGAAAGCTGTAATTTATTTGATTTTATTAGAGGAGTGTGACAGCTTTGATCTACTAAATGTTTAGGAAAATCATATTAAAAGGATGATATAAGAACATTTTCTATTGATAGTAAAATGTGTTTATACCGCGTTTGAAACATGCATCTACTTAGGAATCTGTGTTGACTAAGTATATATTACTAAATTCTCACCTGGGCTAGAATTGAGTTTAATGTAATTATATGCTTTTCTAATAATGTAATTAGAATTTCATTTGTATTACAGAAATTTTTTGCAAGTATATATATAAACCAATAGATTGGTTCATTCATTCATTCAGCAAATATTCTTTGAGGGCTAATTATGTGTTAGACACTGTTCTTAATACTGCAGTTACATATGTGAACAAGACAACCTATGTTCCTATTTCCAAGGAACTTAGATTCTAGACCTGTGCTGTCCAGTACAGTAGCCACTAGCCACGTGTGGATGTTGAACACTTCAAATAAGTCTAGTTCAAATTGAGATGTGTTGCAAAAGTAAAATAAATACTGGATTTCAAAGTTTTAGCACAAAAGAATGTAAAATATTTTAGCAATAATTTTTATATTATATGTTGAAATGATATTTTAGATATTCGGTTAAATGGGCAATATTAAAATTAATTTTACCTACTTTTTACTTTTTAAATGTGTATATTAGAAAATTTAAAATTATACCTGTGGCTCATATTATATGTCTATTGAACAGCACTGTCGGGAATGAATGGATGAATGATTCTAGTGATTATTCAGAACTGATCAGAAGAAGTTACAGGTGGTTTCTGAAACTCTAGTCTGGGAAATCCTTTTGGGATAGAGACTGGCACACATATCATATCTCCAAAAAAGGTCTTAAATCTTCCTTTCATTGCCAGCCAAGAATCTCTTAGTGCAGAATTATTTGAACAAAATTCAGTGAAACATCATTCAGTCTAAACTTTCATGTCTATCATCTCAAACTTTTGTGTTTTAACATCTTTGAGGTGGAAGACTAAAGTTACCTAACACACTTTGAGTCAAGGATGACCCAGTAATCAATCAATCAATCAATCCTGTATGTTAGTGTGCTTTATTTATTGATATTAGAACAAAATTATAAAAAATGTAGCTTATAAAATCCCAGTGTGAGTATCTCCAAGTTGGAGAAGCTTTTTCCAACATAACTTAATGACTCAATCTTTTTTTTTTTTTTTTTTTTTTTTTTTAGAAGGAGTCTCGCTCTGTCACCAGGCTGGAATGCAGTGGCATGATCTTGCAATTTAGGCTTACTGCAACTTCCAACTCCCTGATTCAAGCAATTCTCCTGCCTTAGCTCTCTGAGTAGCTGGGACTACAGGGACACAATACCACACCTAGCTAATTTTTGTATTTTCAATAGAGACAGGGCTTTACCATGTTGGCCAGGGTGGTCTTGATCTCCTGACCTCGTAATCTGCCTGCCTTCACCTCCCGAAGTGCTGGGCTTACAGACGTGAGCCACCAATGCCTGGCCTACTCATCTTTTGTCTTTTGCTGTTCTCTCTATGAAAATCATTTTCCATGTTGTACTATGATTTATCTGGTATTTTCCGCAACCACAGCTGCCCCATACAATGATTTTTGTCAAGATCCACCAATCATGTCCTTGTTACTAAACCTCATGGACGCTTACTTCCTAGTTGTTGGCTAAGCCTCTCAGCAGTTGACTCTGTTGACCACAGAATCCCTCTCAAAATTTTCCTGATTTTCTTGACTTCTACAGTCACTTGGCTTCCTTATGGACTAAATAGAAGGTGTAGTTACTTGGGTTCCAATTAGTTAACCTTTAAATTCTAAATTTTATGGCAACATTTCTTCTGTTCTTTAGAAAGCATGTTGCAGCAAGTTTTTCAATGAGTGCCCATTTAAAAAATAATAAAAGTGTTGTTTTCTCCAGTAATTTATCTATTAGTAAAATAGCTTTTTATTATTAATTTTTATGCTATTAGATTAAATGTTTTTTTTGTCAGTGAATGAACAATGATAGGAATATTATTTCAGAATTGCTGTTCTAGTTGTGCTTTCTTTACTTTTTTCTTTTTTGGTCTGTATTTTGTATCTGTGACATAAATTCTTTGGCAGATCTAAGAGATGGAATTATTGTGATGTGTTTTACATATTGGAAAGCAGATAAATGTGCCAAGTTACTCATGGCTTCCCAGTAAATATATTCGACACAAAAATATGAATAAGGATTTTCACAGTATTTTTGGTTACATTCCATTATGAAATATTTTTCTCAGGTTTAAAAATTTCTTTTGGTCTTCATCCATGTTTTAATGAAAATACCTAATATTTATTGATTTGTTATGTATATGATAAGCACTGTATAGGCATGGTTTATTTAATTCTTATAACAACTTGTGAAGTAATATATTTTATTGATTAGGAAACTGATGCTTACTATGCCAAGAAGTCTTCTAAGTGCTTTAAATATATAACTTTTAAATCCTTATAACTATCCTATGAGGTAGCCACTAATATTATCCACATTTACAGAGGAGGAAACTTAGGCATAGGAAAGTTATTTAACTTGACTGAGTTCACACCAAAAAGTGAGTAATGGAGCCAAGATTCAAACTCAGGCATTCTGCCTTTAAAGCCTGAATGCTTAGCCATCGCCCTATATGGCCTTTCTAATTTTCACCTTCCTTGCCTTCTCTGATATATCTAGCCACGCATCCACTCTGTTATCTATTCAGCCATGCAACATAAAAATACACTTCTGCTTGGGGGCAAGTCCCTGTGTGTGTTAGTGTGTATGTATGTATGTAGTAATAACAATTTATATAACATTACGTATTTTTCAAAGCAAACGCTATGGCATCGCTTCTAAGTGCCAACTCGAGTCAAATGTTGCATTCCAGAGACTGGTCTGGTCCTATCCACCTCTTCGGTTTTGTGTTAGGACCAGTCAGCCCCAGGGCTTCTCCCTAAGAGTGCTCTGTACCTTCCCCCTAAATGGATGCAGGCCCAAGGATGAAGATTCTTGAACGAATACTAATTTGGTTCTTCAACTCTTTGCCAGGAATTGTGGCCAACTTCTCTTTCCTGCAACAGTTCTAGTTCTTAATTCCATTTTATTGGTTCTGGCTATAGGAACCTGACTCTAAGGGCCAAATATGGTTCCTAAATCTTTACTACAACCATTAACTAATTTAAACCCTGAAGTAACCCTATGAGGTGATTGTTATTATCCCCAATCTAGAGAATTAACATTAAGGCTAAAAGTAATTGAGTGGCATGCCCAATATCACACGGCTAACAAAAAGCAGACCCGCTGTTAGACTGTAGATCTTTCAGTCTTGTAATGCAAGTAATAGAGTGCCTGGCACATGAAAGTAACTCATTATTATTTTCCTGTGTCTTTCCGAATGGACACACTGGCTAAGTGAACAGGGAGGTGACCTAAATGTAGTGTGTATGTGTGTGTGTGTGTGTGTGTGTGTGAGAGAGAGAGAGAGAGAGAGAAAGAGAGAGAGAGAGAGACAGGTTCTCATTCTGTCACTCAGGCTGGAGTGCAGTGGCGTGATCTTGGCTCACTGCAACCTCCACCTCCTGGATTCAAGTGATTTTCCCATCTCAGCTTCCCAAGTAGCTGGGATTATAGGCACGGGCCACCACACCTGGATAATTTTGTAGTTTTGATAGACGGGGCTTTGCCATGTTGGGGAGGCTGGTCTTGAACTCCTGACCTCAAGTGATCACCCCCACCTCAGCCTCCCAAAATGCTGAGATTACAGGTGTGAGCCACCGTGCCTGGCCTTAAGTGTAATTATATATCGATAGCAAATGTATTTCTGAATTTTTTTAAGGAAAAATATGTGAGATGATCTAGAGTATTTTTATAATTAGAGATGAATTTCAATTATATATACCCTATTTTTTTTGGAGATGAAATTGGATAATACATGGGATCTTTTAGAAAAATTGTTTTGCATCTTTTTTTTTTCATCACAGTTTCCAAGTAACTTAGAATATTGAAGCTTGTGAAGAAAAAGGCCTTATTGAAGTCCTGGGCAAGTGCTGCTGTAAGTGGGAGAGGTCTTTGGAGGAATTTAAGGAATGGTGTTGGAAATATCCCTAGTATGCCAAATATAAACTCTTCAGGGAAGCTGAGATTTAAGTAGTTTTCCTACTTTACAGTATTACTAGTTAGTTTTCTGAGTCAGGGAGGGAAAAGGGAAAGTTCCTTTGCAAGTTGAAGTGAAATGTTATGTCCTATGAGTTAGATTTTCAGTGTAAAGGAAAGGGAGAAAAATATGAGGAATTTTCCCTTTGGACATCAGCATGGCTCGCATAACCTCATGCTGCCTTTACCTGATGCGGCATTGCCATCTGGAATTTCCTGCCACTTGGCATTTCTATTGTGAATATGATCCGCTTGAAGCAGCCTTGGATTGCCTCATAGGAATAAGAAGTCCTTGGAAAGCATAGCATATGCTTTTACCCAACAATCAAGTACAATATCATGTTAACCTATTCAAATTATACAGTCCCTCAGTTACTCTATTGGCTTGCCTAATATTTCACAGCGCCTAATGGAAATTTTACATGTACTAACAAAGGGACTATATGGGATAATTTAAATGTCACTTTTTTGGTTACTGGTTGATGATATTATTTATTATAACAACATAAAATAATGTTTAATGGTAGAATCCTTCATGGGGTCTGTGGGGTACA